TGGGATGCGGATTCGAACCCGCGACCCTCAGATTGTGAGTCGAGTGCCTTATCCACCTGGCCATGCCGGGCACAAGTATGGTTGACTGAACAAGCCACGCCAAATTGACAAAGTTATTCAAGTTGTCATATTGATGACATCGTGAAAGGGATCTGGGTTCCTAGTAACCTACCAGAATTAAACTTTCAGAATGAAGTTATCATATTCTAAGAACATGCCAAGTTTGAATCTTCTCTTCTCACTTTTCCATCTTCATGGATATATTACACAGATCAACATCACTGTTCCAATAGTACTGCCTCTCGGTGGCTAAGCGATAAGTCTGATGGCTTACGACGCAAAACATTGAGTTTCAATACCTGTTGTGGGCCGAGCTCAGCTGGCTCACTGTATAGCTTTTTGATTAACAAAGATCAATCAATAATTCCAAAAACAGCTTCTTACAAATTTCTTTCCAGGCCTAATCTATCACCGACCACACTATACGTATGCACAATGTGATATATGGGTGTATAATAGAGGTGAATGAGTATATGCATGAGAAGGGTATTTATGTATATTTGAATATATATCTGTTTCTACTTCTCAAAGAGATGTTCATGTGGACGTAACATATAACTGTTGAAGAAGATCCAAATTGGACATGTGGGTAGACTAAAGTGTTTTAAAGCAGTTTGAAGTTAGTAAGGAGGCATCAGAATCAAAGGTAGCCGGAAACATTATGGTGTGAACGTCTTTTACAAGCTGGCGAAGTATGATTATGGTTAATTATAAATGTCTTAAGACGTTATATTAGGCTTATTATATTTTTTAACACTACATTCTTAATCTATTCCCTAAGGGCTTAGCATGGTGTAGTATGAAAAGTATAACTAATTATAACGAGAAAGATTGCCAGTACCATCTCCTCCAGACTAGAAAATATCATGTAACAAGTTCTTTGAAGCCTCTATGAAATATTTGTTGTTATTTTTTCATAACACTGTTTGAAAAAAATAAGTTTTCAAAACATTCAATTTAAATATAAAGCCAGAGATATGCCTTTTGTTTTTAGTTTAGTGATATTTTTCAAACTAAAACCTATTCAACTATATGGTTTAAACAACTACAGTCTGATAAAGCTTAATACTTATATCTAGACTACCAGGACATTCTGTGATACTTAAAACTATACTATTAAAATATGCTGTAATACTTATATCTAGACGATTAGGATGTGCTGTAATACTTGTATCTAGAATGTTACTTTGAAAACACTTAAAAAGTTACATCTTCTAGATAATTCTGCATAAGATATCACTAAATTGTATATCATATTTCAACCAGTAAAAGTTTCACATTTAAGACGTTTTTACTGAGCGCTAAGGCTGAAATGTACCACACAACCCCATTCTACTCTATATCCCATTTGTTTAGATATAAGTATTACAGCACGTTCTAATAGTCTAGATTAAAGTATCAAACAATGTCCCAGTTGTCTAGATATAAGTATTACAGCGCATTCTAATAGTCTAGATAAAAGTACCAAAGCACGTCCTAATCACATAAAAATATTTGAAGGTTTATAACGCTAAAATTCAAAGTTCGATCGCTGCTGTAAGCAAAGAGCAGACTGCCTATTTTGCTGGTTTTTTTTTGTTTATCAACAAGTAAGCACACTTTTAAAAATAACCAAACTTTGTGTATGTATTATTTCTAGAAATTTTAGGTAACAAAATCGTAAACTTTTTTTGTCTCTAAAAAGAGTAATTCGATCCTTTGCTTTGAAAAAGAAAACAATGACTCGCAGAGGACACATAACTTCAAAATTGCGTCAACAAAACGGTGATTTCCACGCTCTAAGAGCTATTCTAATATAATGATATACTACACACCTCACTGAAACGTAATGTTAAAATTCGCTCTGTTTGCTAATTGTTAATCTCTCTTTAAAAGTTATGGTGATAGGTGTTTCCAACCTTATACTGCAATTTAAAGGTACTTTTAAATGTTAGGGTACTAGGTGTTTTCAACCATATGACGCTACATATTTAATTAGTAACAATTCATTACTAAAATCGCCTTGCCTAGAACATTTTTTTCAATATACTGTAAACAAAAGTATAAATTCTAGAAATGTTTCGTTTTTATATTTAACTTATATATATAGGCTTTCTTAACGTACAGGTTTTTGTATATGATGCTAAGAACGTGATATAAGCGTGACAGTCATTCCTGATATTCATTTAAGGGTAACCGTGTAGGCGGTGCATGCTGATGACTGTTACCCTACCTCTGGTACACAGCACTGGCATAGATACAACTTTCCCTGAGATTTAAGGTGCTCGACCCTCATCCCAGCATGCTAACCGCTATTCCTCGTCGGGTTTGCTTGCTTGTTTGCAATTAAACACAAAGCTACACAATGGGCTATCTGTGCTCTGCACACCACGGGTATCAAAACCCGGATTCTAGCTTTGTAAGTCCGCAAACATACCGCTGTGCCACTGGGGGGGGGGGCTCCTCATCGGGTCCAACAGTTTATAGTAAAATACAATAAAATGCATGAATTGTTTCATTAATAAAGCTGAATTTCCTTTTTTTTTTTACTTACTCGCAATATTGGAATATAAATACGACATTAATTTAGACAGATTTTCATTTAGAGTAAATTTACGATGTTTCTTAATTTAATTTATTTAGCAAAGCGAAATTCACTCATTTTAAAAATTCCATTCTCGTGAAAGCTTTGAAGTTATCGACTAAATATATATATATATATATAAAACTTGTTATAACCACGGTGATTCTTACAGTAGTTTATTTGTCGTAACTGATATGCACAGTTTAAAATGCATCGTTTGATTGTTTTTAGATTTGCATTCTAATGTCCTTGGATTAGGCATTCTGAACTTAAATTGCACTGTACACAATTAAATCTTTTAGATCCAAATCCCTATGGCAACCAATGATAATATGAAGATCATGATCATTAAGAAAACGAAACCCTTAAGTCCTTAGTGAATTTGAACTCGATCAAGAGAAATTTGCAATACTGATAAATTACGCTTTATTCAAATTAAATGATGCAGCTTTTCATAGATGAAACTTACATAGAACATTTATGATTACTTCTATTCTTGTACTTCCTTCCGAGTTGGTGGCTTCGCATACGTAGTAACCTGCGTGATTTCGTGAGACTCTTGTAATTTCCAGCACAGAATTTCGTGCAAAAATATCCTGATGATGAATAGTTTGTGTGCTCCAGGGTGCAAAGGCAGAAGGGTCAACTATCAGTTTTCCTTCATGAAACCATTGGTAAGATATGGACGACGGATTACCCTTTGCAGTAATATTGATGAAAGCCGGTTCACCTTCTACTACATCGAACCGCTTCAGGCTATGAATCAGAAACTTGGGCTTATCTGTCAATGACAGAATTCGTAAAAAAATTAAACGGAGGACAGCACCATTGTTTATATATATATACATTACAAGAGAAATCACTTCGCTCTAACTGTGTTTGTGATACCAGTTGTAATTACTGAAGTACAATTCAGAAGCTTCGCATCAGAGAACAATATTTGTTATCCGATGTAAAGAGACGACGTCCTTGAGCTAGCATAATGGAAATTATGTCTGCTCTATTCCAAAACAACCATCAATAGACAGAAGTTACTGTTTCTACTAGGCCGAATATTGGTAAACTGTTGTCATCGAAAGGCTTAGATCTGCGATGCAAAGCTCCTGAATAACATGTACTTAATTTACTTTTCTGTTACTGAGACTTACTTTTCCTGGTAAAAGAAAAAAAAAATAATACCAAATCGTGTTGTTGTTTTTTACACTGTATACGCATGCACGAAGTTCAAAAAATGGTATGTATATATATATATATATATATATATTATAAATTAAACAAAACAATATTATATTTTCATGCAGTTTAAATTTCAAATACTAACAATAAGTACAGAGTAAAAATGTTGTCTTAATGTAATATACTTTAATGCGTTTTATTTTTAATAGATACTGTTTGAGTAAAATATGAATAATACAATATATAATGAGCCTCATTACTTGGTCTATTGGATATCTACTGTGATAACATTGAAGTTTGTTAACCTACTAACAATTTGAAAGATTTGATCTAATTTTTTGTGACAATCACACAAAAGTTTAGTTGCTTGAAATGTTTTTCATATTAACAAATACAGACTAACTTATACATAAAAACATATGTTATTTACTTCGAAAATAGAAATAAAGTAAATCCTCAATGCTACAGATTTATCTTTTGTGATCTTTTAACACTACACATGTGGCGAAATTATCGTTAATTATGAAAGTTAGTATATAAATTTATGGTATTATTATTTATATCAAAGAGGAAAAACTTAACGTGAATACAAAATGAAACAGATTTAACATGTGAAATTTGTTGTAAAAAGGTTTTGCTATTGGGAAACTAACGTGTGTTTCAAAAGAAACATAGATATTACGAACAAAAGAGATTATTGAGAAGAGCAAGAACGTATCGCATAAAACACTTAGGATGGGTATCAATTCTAAGTGTGATAGTATCTTAAAACAAACCCCTTACAAAGTATTTCAAGTGTGATTGTTTCGTGTACTGAACGATGTATTTTGGGATTTGTTGCTTGACACACGAAGATCGAGCCATCGTCTTCAGAAGTGACGTTGAATCGAAGGCGACTTTTTGTTATTTTCCCTCCATAGTCTCCTTTTGAAATCGCCACCACCCCTCCATTGATTAATTTATCATTCTTCCACCATTGAATGTTGCTCTCCGGATTACTGGATCCAGACTCACATTCTATTGTTACCTGTTTATTGATAGATTATCACCTGTCAACACACTGAATTTTATTATATTTCTACCAAGAACAAAGAAATAATCATCTGTCTTTTTCACAACATTACATAAGAAACTTACAATATAGTGAAACCACTAAAGAAAATTAAATATCGTTAATGTCCACAGTTTGCAGGAAAGACGTTTTCAAAAGCAAATTTATAATATTAATAGTTAAGCCTAGTTAAGTACACACAAATTCATAGATTTACCAACGACAGTCCATATGAACAACGTAGGATGTTTAAAGCACATTTTTAAAACCATTTATTGACTAAATTATTTAGGTCCATGACTTTGTTGTTTACGGGGTCCAGGACAAGTTATGAGACATATTCAGTTATTTTGAATAATTACTAGTGGGATATGCTGTTCATTTTACTTATTTAAAGAATTAGTGATTTCACCCAGTTTCTTTGGTCAGTTCTTTACTCTTAGTATTAACGCTGCTACGTGTGTCGTATAAACAACTCGGTAATTTTAGGGTTAACTTTCAGTTCACTTTTCAAATGTTGAGCTACTAAATAACCTTTTATTTTTAGTTATAGAATATTATTCTACTATTTTTTGAATATCAGGACATTCATATTTAATGACTATAAATTGTCCTATAATTATAGAATTACATGAGTTAATCCCTATAAATAATTGGAGGATAAAAACTTACTATTTGGTACTCCCTCGGTTTGTTAGGCAAGACTTCAATATTTAAATCAGCAGGAGGAACTAAAAATTGTGGAATAACTTCAATATTTAAACCAGCAGGAGTAGCTAACAATTATGGAATAACTTCAATATTCAAACCAATAGAAGGAACTGAAAATTATGGAATAACTTCAATATTTAAACCAACAGAAGGAACTGAAAATTATGGAATAGCTTCAATATTTAAACCAACAGAAGGAACTGAAAATTATGGAATAATTTCAATATTTAAACCAACAGGAGGAACAGAAAATTATGGAATAACTTCAATATTTAAACCAGCTGGAGGAGCTAACAATTATGGAATAACTTCAATATTTAAATCAACAGAAGAAACTGAAAATTATGGAATAACTTCAATATTTAAACCAACAGGAGGAACAAAAATTATAGAATAGTTTAGAGAGCTGTTTTGACAAAATTTGATTCTAGGGAGACAAATGTTTTATCATCTACAGTCATTAGCAAGATGGTTTACTGAATGTTTTGTTTAAATATAAACAGGAAAGAAACTATAATTTTTACACAAACAGTTTTAATCTTTGATTTATTCTTAAAATTTCCAATTCGAACTTATATAGCTCCCGATTCAACAGGAGATATGAGATTTGAACTAAAATAACAAATAAATACAAATTTATTAAAACACTATTAAAATGTGCAAATCTTACAGATAACTTTAGTTGTTACAGAAACCACCAGGGGCTGTATTGTAGCTAAATTGGATGCCTCACATCTATACACAGCACCATTGTCACTTGCTTCGGCTTGGATCACTAAGCTACTAGCGACTCCATTGGGCAAGAGCTTAGTCACAGCAGGAACCTGTTGAAACAAGACTTTTGAATAAAAGTATTAACATGTTTAAGGATATTCTACGACGAAAGTAACAAATAATTAAGCTGAAATACAATGTAAAAACATAGTGGTTATTAATAGCAATAGTTCGTATATTATCATGGCTTAAAAAAGTTTACTGTTCTTCTAACTACTTTACAGAAAACTATAGCATAACATCTAAGCTGTTTCAATAATATATAAACATACAGATAGTCTTAATATTTAAATGTTCAGGTTGTTAAACTGGCTAATGTTAGAAACAACCAGCGACTGCAATGTATTATTACTAATGATTTCTGATGAAAAATAAGCTAACTATATAGTTAACAACCAAAAATAAAACGTAGCATAAATTAATGGAGCCAATTCTACATAGCGAACTGACTAGAAGTACATAATATCATAAATAAATATAAAATAATGTTATAAAACGCATACTGATTAGACTACATTGAATAATCAGTTGGGTACCCTATTTATTGTTGGCATTTTCTGCTGTTATACCAATAATATCTCACGTGATTAGGCTAATCTAAAAATGCAAAATAATTTTTCTAATTGTTAAAAATCAGTAATAATAATAATAATAATCAAAATACCAAAATTATAATCAATAATATTAATGAAAGTAACTTTAAAGATAAATATATTAAAGTTACTTTCACTAAACAGGTATTTATTTGCTCCTAAGATCCTCACAACCAATCAATACACACAACTCATAAACATTCAGATATTTGTAGCAGTAAACACCCAAAAAGCAATAAAAACTGATGGATGATGCAGTAAAATGTACTGAACAACATAAAAAAACAACACTAGTTCATTGTTCACCTGTCATGGTTGAGTGCTAGTTTCGGTTCCAAATAATGACGAGTGACCAATGGAACTATTGCTAACTCTTCATTTTTTTTTTAAATAGCTTTGCCCCTGTGTAGTCTTCCTTGACTGGTATTGCCCTTGTTAATCTAAATTGCATGTTGACGATTTTTTCCTGTCATTTAACAGTCCGTAAGTATGTCACCAACTGAATAGGAACATCCAATCAGGCAAAAGTTAAGTACTGTCAAGTAATGGCATCATTAGTGATGTAATAACTGAATAGGAACTCCCAATCAGGCAACAGTTAAGTAGTGTCAAGTTATAGCATTTATTAGTGATGTAAATGTTATGTGTAGTTATTAATATTCGTCTTTACTCAAGAGTCAATATATGTACTAAATTCTGCATACGTAAGTTAAACAAATAAATCTAATAAATAATCAGTATGCAACGTTTCATATTTACACACTTATAACACTACATGTTACATGTTTCAACGCTTTCTACATCGTCTTCTGGAGTTATTTATTAGACATTCCTTTTCAATATTTGTAATTTTTGCAAATCATGTGATATAAATTTTCAATATTATTTAAATAACTCACTGACCAACGTTTACAGTATGTCACGGCATATATATCATTACAACGACTTGATGGCCTATCATCCCAGTTTGATACTTCTTTTTATTATTTCCATTATTAGCGGATATTCAAAGCTGTAGTATTGTACGGTTGAGCTAAATTTGTAGTTTTGTCTCATAGGGTTGTGTGTTATGTTGCTTGTACGTGTTCTGCTATTGTTGAATTGTGTATTGTATTGTTTATTACGTACCCTTTATGTTTAATCTGTACTTTAAGTCCCTGTTAGTTTGATCAATATAAATACTACTACATTCACGTTTTATTTTATAAATCCCAGTTTTATCTTTTAACCCTATTTCATCTATTAATCTTGAAATATAAGATAAATTTAAAGGTTTTTTGTAGCATTTCATAATCAGATTTGGACTTAGAATTTTAAGAAATATTGAACCATTACTAAACATTATGTAACTCCAGTGGCTCCGTGGCAAGACAGCAGACTTCCGACGCTAAAATTAGTTTCAATGCTCATAATGGGTAGAAGACGGATTGTTCAGTGCGTAGTTTTGTGCTTTACAACAACCAAAGTATTAGATATCTACGGATTTATTAGTAACAATTCAATCTATTTGTCGAAAGCATATTTTATACAATCTGTTAACATAAGTATAAAACGTAGATTTTTTGTTTTTATTTGACACAAGTTGAGGTATCCGTCCTTTTTCCGGGTTATGACCTTAAAAAATGTGGAGTTGGATGATGTGATAAATAACATAAAAATCCCAGCTTTCACACAATTTATTTATAACATATACTATTACAGTATTCATTATTACCTCACCGAAAGGTTTGTATAAGCTTTAATAATTCAATATGTATATAGCTAAAATATGGTATACACTGTGCGATGACTTTGTAGGAAGAGGTAGGGGAAAAAATAGTGTCAGTAGGAGTGCTTTCTGTTACCCGGTTTTAATACCCAACTCTTAATGTCCTTCCACAGTGTTCCACAGGATTAATTAATTGACGGCTGCAGAAGTGTCTTACAGGCCGAAGTTGAAAGGTCACAAGTCAAAGTGGAAAGTGAGTATAACTCAAGAAATGGCTCTTCATATCAACCTTATGGTGGCTGTTGGAGTAGAAACTTCAGCTGAGTTTATGTAATATCGTAATAGCGGTGGACATTTTTTTCATTGCGTTCCTCCTCCACAGAGCGCTAGACACTCTCTGAGATATATAAAGCCTTTGTGTATCCTCTCCCACATATTTTTGTATGTTGTCTTATAGAAAATCTATCATCTTATGTAAGGATGTAGCGCCATCTATGTATGTAGTTAACGTCAATGTAAGTGAAAAATAATAAATATTCAATAACAGCAATAACGGAGGGTGGAAAGGGTTGTTAACCCTTCCTCCTCACTAACATTCCCTTTTCTTCCACACTATCATCCCACGAAGTTTGGTTGAAATTGGCTTCACGAGCTAGGAGTAGTTAGATAACAGACACACAGATTTTGGTCTTTATATATATATATATATATATATAGATGATTCTTGATGCGTTGGCACTAAAACAGTGAAATATTTTCTATAAACAGATGTTTCTAAATTACCAACTATATCTTTTTTTTGACAAGTAGTACGTATAGAAAAAGGTAAGCTATTATTTTCTTAAGTTTCATATGTAAATTCAATAATTGGTTCTATATTATTTCAATAACTAGCATAATATTATATATTAGTGTCATTCAAACCTAAATAAGTTGAAATACATCTTCAACTCCGTGAAAGTATGGTTATCGAAATTATGCTTTTGTCCTCAATGTCTTTAATTTTGTAAACACAAAACTTCGTAATGTATTATTGACACAAATTCAAGTAATCTCAGATGACATATGTACCTATGTAAATCAAGTTTTTCATAAGACTAAAGAAAATACCTAATTCTTTATGAGTAGCCTACATCAACTATTATAGCAAGAAAGTTCCCTTTTTGCAGCCATTCCTAGTTACATGCTAGTAAACTTCAAAATTTGCCTTCCTCTTGTTAGATTGTAACATGTAAACATGTTAGGAACACATATGATGATATGCAATATATTTAATTATGATAGCTTGTTCAGCTGCTCCAGTTGTTATATTATGTTATAGTTAGCCGTCTATTCAACTAATTTGTCATTATTTGCCAAATCTGTTATTTAGGTGAGCCATATTAACCGCAGTATAGCTCTGGTAGATTTTACCAATAAAGAGGAACATAGCGAGTCAGTATTTATCAAGACAGCTAAAAGCATTCTGAAAAAATTAAGTAACATTTTTTTTCTGTTGTAGTGTTCCTGGTTAATCAATATGATTATGGATCATTTGGTTTCTTATTATCAATAATAAGCATCTATATAAGAAAGTAAAGTGTAATGAACCATTTTCTGTTAGTTATTTACCACAGATGGTTTAACTCCAGTGGATAACTCACTACATTTATAGGTACAATGGATCTAAAAATAATAATTTATGTGCTGAGGTGAAACTTATAACCTTATAATTTGTATACTATGTTGTGGAAGACTGAGAACAATTCTAGAACAAAACTTATTAAAAATCCACCAGCGTTATAAAACGATATATCCCGAATTATGTAAGATGTTTTTGAAAGCTTTATGGTAATATGAAAAAGTTTCAAAGACAATTAGCAGCCAATGGTCGTAATAAGATGGAAAACGTCACCTCGGTATCTCCCTTAAACCAACGAATAGTTGCCCAAGGATTTCCCCCGAAAGAAACACAAGTTAGTTGTTTTATTTCTCCTAAAATGATTGGTCGATTATGATTTTCTACTGATGGTGGACCTGGTGGATCTGTAAAAAAAAAAAGTTGCTGAAACCAAAATAAAATTGGCAGCCAATCATATAGAGACAATTTAAATTATACACTTCGAATTCAAGCTTTCTAAATATGTGCTGCTTAAAACTATACATATACGTTAGCATCAGAAATTGCACTACGAGTGGTTAAAATATGTCTTATTTCTTCTCTTTTTAACAAAAATTTTATTGTTTGATGGACGATCTCGCATTTGCTAGCATAGTTGCAACTGTAGTTTATCTTAGCTCTTTCACTCTTTTATAGATAAGCGATTCTCTATGTGCAAGACTTATTTTTAGAGTCACAATGAAGAAAATAGAGACACATATTTGTATGTTTCTTAGTTATATGAAACCTGAAATTGGTAAAGTTTAGGAAGTTTGAAAGGGAATTTTTACAAAATGAGTTCAGGACATTATATTTGTGAATATTATATCAAACAAAATTCGAACTGCGTTTGATGGTTTAAGATAGTTACTTAAAATTTCTGGTACCAGATCTACACGAGAAGGTAGGAAATATACTTACATATTACAGTGAGATTGGCTGTTTGTGTAACTTTTTCATTTAAAATCTTGTTCAGAGCTACACAGGAAAATGTCTTGGTATCAGGGTCCTAAATTAGATCAAACAGAACTATCCTCAGTAAATTTCTTCCCTGTAATCAGTGATTAAACGTTTCTTTATTTATAATTTAGAAATAAAATAAGTGAAATTCTCCACAACGATCCTTCGTTTATTCATTTCAGTTAACGTGATGCTTAAGATAAAGTGTTAAGTCAACATCGTTATCTTCAGATGTATGCAGTTACGTTCAACAGTTTTAAGATCGCCAAATTACATTTCAGAATAACTTGAAATTAGAACACTTAGTCACGAACTGCCCGGCTGTATTTATCTCTTAATGTTAGTACCTAAACTCATCCCAAAAGTTGTAATCGTTACGAAACTAAAACGAAATCCTTAAAAGAATAGCTAGAAATTGAAGCTAGAAATAATTAATATTGTATAACTTAGCGTATGAAAGTAAATATTATTTCAAAATTAAGAAAATGAACAGAAGAGTTTATGGTTTGTTCGATTTTTCCATATTTCTAGTTTCATAGTTCTCCAATTATTTTTAAAATCTAAATATATCATAATTAAAAAGAATATATATTTTTTTTGAACCATTCGACGCAAATTGCAAATGTAAAACGCAACCTGAAGTTAATCTTGGAGTCTGCATAGGTTTTGGTAAAACAATTATAAGACACATATAAGTATTTCTTAAAACTCGGAAACAATAATATCCCAACTAACAGATCAGAAGATTTGTAATATCAGCTTATTTTGTTATTATCAAAGAAATGCTCCGTCAACTCTTTGATTTTGCTTCATTTTGTTAATGTATATAAAAGCTTCTATATAATCATCGTATAATTTAAGTTTTTTTTCAGTTAATATTTTTAACAGAAATAAGCACATTTCTGATAAAATATTCAGAGGGCATACCATATTCGTCAAGATGATAAAATGACAAAAGAAAAGAGGCTATGTTTTTGTTGTTAAATAACTGATTTCTGTTCAGTTAAGACATTTCAGTCTTTATGTAAATAACATTTTTAGGTTATGTTTTTATTAATAATATTGATCTGAAAAAAAAAACATTTTAAACCAAGAAGCAATGCCGAATTATGCAGGCTTATAAATTGACCACATGTGGTGTGATACGTTATGACGTCATCATGGTGACTCTACACGGCTAAACAGTCATCGTGCAAAATCATATTTAAACAGTTCTGAAGAGGTCATGCAATGTTTACGTTATCTTCCGCATGGTGAAATTGGTCTACTCACTAAGTTTCACAACATCTTGTCTATTTCGATGACGAGGAACCCACTTTGAGACTAATAATGGCTGGAGACGGCTTAAATGGGTAATGAAGAAAAACTTTAATATAAGTTTAACATGACAGCAAATGTACAACGTTTCGACAAGGTTTTGATGATAACAAAACCTTGTCACCTGATGATGACAAAACCTTG